AGGGAAAGAGAAATATCTCACGGGAGAAGGTAGGCATCTAAACAAGCCCAACTTAGGCCAGCCCAAAGCTTGTTCATGTTCGACTCGTTCAAATTTATTATTCTTCGTATTCAACAACATGTTTGAGATGGCTTGTGAATAGCCTATATTCATGTTCAACTCGATACGTTTGAAATAGGTTTGTGTCCGACTTGATAAAATCCATGAACATCATATTTTTTTTTGAAAATTAATCATACTACCCCAAATCTGATGTTTTGGGGGAAGTGCAAATGAGCATCGATTTTTTAATGTACTTGATGAGACATACACGACTTCACAACCCACTCCTCTTTCACCTAACTCTCACACTCCTCATCCTAACTCTTATATCCTTGTTGAGGATGTCTAAACCCAACCTGAATTGCATAACAAAAGACTGTGGGTACACAAGGAGGAAGAGAAACTTTGAGATGGTAGAAAACAACTTGCAAAGATAAAATTACTCCAAACAAAACTTGAATCCACTTTAACCTAAAATTTTGGGTGAGGAGTCTAGCACTCATAAGCTATCCTTTTTATCTTTTGGTTTTGATGACATGGAAAGCTATACTGGATACTCAATTCAGGAGTATGTAGCTTATGAAAAGCTATCATCAACCTATAGAGCATTTTATCTAACCTTGATATTGTGCAAATTCTTAAATCCGCTCTTAAAAATTTAGAATGGAGGAAATCAATTGAAGAGGAGATTCAAGAACAAAACATATTGACACATGAATTCTTACTAAACTCCATTATGATAAGCAACCAGTTGGATGCAAATTTGTGTTCAAAATCAAATTCTAAACAAATGGGGTGTTAAGAGATTCAAAGACAAACTTGTTGAAAAAGTTTTATCTCAAGCCCATGAACTATCAGGAGATTTTCACACCGGTCGCCAATTTGAACATTATCAGAATTTTACTTTCAGTAGTTGTTAACAAGGAGTGGGAACTGCATCAACTTGACATAAAATACCTTCTTGAATGAGGATATGGAAGAAGAAATGTATATGGAGATACCACCATAATTTAAGAATAATTTAAACAAACACCTAGTATGCAAATTCATGAAGTGTTTTCATGCGCTTAAACAATCACTAAGGGCATGGTTTGAAAAATTTGCTTGAACTATGAGATTTAATGGATATTCTCATGGTCAAGCTGATCATAAATCTGTTAATAAATACAATTAAGGAGATAAGATTGTTTCATTGATAATATATGTAGATGATATGATTCTTATTGATGATGATAAAAAAGAAATTCAAAAGAACAAAGTGCTTGCCACTGAATTTGAAGTCAAGGACCTTGAAACCATGAAATGTTTTCTAAGTATGGAGGTAGTAATGTCCAAGAAAGACATCGTTATATTATAGAGGAAATAAATCTTAGATCTACCTAAGGAGATAAAGTTGATTGAATGCAAACCTGTTGATACTCTAATGGATCCCACCAAGAAGTCAAATATGAGAGAAGAAAACATATATATGGATAAGGAAAGTTATCAAAGATTGATAGAAAAATTTATCTATTTGTCACATACTAGGCTAGCTATTGCATGCTCTGTCAGCATTGTGAGCCAACACATGAATAACCCAAATGAAGAGCATTTGAAGATACTGTAAATGATTTTAAGGTTTCTCAAGGAGACTCTTGGTTATAAATTAATTTGTGAGAAAATTAGAAACGAAGAGGTAGAAGTCTGTTGATGCTAGTTTGGTTACAAAAATACTACTCTTATGTATGGAAAAGTCTAGTTACATGGAGAAGTAAGAAGCACGCTGCTATTTCCAAAAGCAGTGCAGAATTAGATTGTAGGGAACTCGCCTTGAGAGTCTGTTAAGGGATATGGATTCAAAAATTATTAAAAGAATTGGGGTGTAGCTCAAATAGGCTTATAAATGTATCTTGTGACAATCAAACGATCATCAGTATTGCCAAGAATTTTGTCCACGATGATTGGACCAAACATTGTTGAAATCGATAGACACTTTATTTCTGAAAATGATAATGATGGAATTATATATCTAAGCTACATCCCGACATACCAACAAGTTATTGATGTCGTCTTCACCAAAGCTCTTCTTAAGCACTTTCTCAAAGTTCAATACCAGGCTTGATCTCTACAACATCTAAGACCTAACTTGAGGTGGAGTGTGAAATACTGAGAAGCTTCAATTTCTTTTATATGGTGGGATGGATGAACACTTCAGAAATAATGGAAGTTTTGATTGAGGACAATTTTGGCAACTACAATTAGTTTTATTCCATTTCTTTTTTATGTTTCTTTATTTTTTATCTCATAATTATTTCATTTCCTTGTTTAGATTTTATATATTTGATAAATATGTAAATTAGGAGCGATTGATTTCCCTATATACATGTAACCTACACATGAATAATTAAATGAAATAATTTTTCATCTCTAAACCTATTTTTCACATATATCAATGGGGCAAAATTGTGAGGTCATTAGGGCAAAGCGGACAATATCTCAATGGGTGAGAATTTAGGCTATTATTAATGGTACCGTTGCATTACACCAGTATGAAGATAGGATTATCTGCCCGTGCCTTGGTGGATTATTCTGAGCTAAGAAAACTGACATGGATGCTAGTGGCTTCTGGGAGGAAGATTGTGAAATCCCTTAAGTAAAGCTGAACTCTTAAGAATCGAGATACTTTTCATGTAATAGTTGGAGTTTCATCAAAAACTCCAAATAAGAGTGCTTCTGCGGGAGCACTCTTGGGATGGGTGACAATATGGGAAGTTGAACCCAATGGGAAAAAACTGTGAGGCCATATGACCAATGCGAACACTATCAAGTTGGGTGAGAGTTTGGGCTGTTACACATACCAATTCGTATGTCTTTACATATCTAACACCAAAATTTTACTTTTTTACATTTAAAACTCCCAAATCTTTTATATCATATAAAAATACCATCATTTTAAGTTTAAAAAGTCAAAATACTCCTTTTCATTCATAGGCAAGGTAGTATGCATGTAAAAATTAAAATTTAGGCCTTAGATATGTAAATACATAGGAATTGAGTGGTTTGTATGTATATCTTCCTTATTTGTAGAGGCATTTACATATTTGTATATGCACTTACAGTCAATTTACTAAATAAATATGTTGTAGATATCAATCTAGGCCAAGCCTAACATTTAAAGTCCTTCAAATTGATTGAAATTCATTTACAAGCCATTGCTTGCCACTCCTATAGTACAATAGACATATTCCCAAAATAAAGGAAATTGTTCACTTGTTTAGACTTTACGACCTGATTTGTTTCTAGAACACTTGATTATTTGACTAACTTTATGGAGAATCAACCAACCAAAACAACTTTTTTGGTGAAAGCCCTTTTGAGGGCTTTATGCCACAATCATCATGATTTATCTGGATTCATACTTTGCATGCCATTTGCTTTTGAACTATGACTTTGAGCTATGCTTACTCAATAATGTTTGTCAGCACTTTTTTCTTTCCTTAGAATATTTAATGTTATGCTCATTTTTTGTTTGCAATCAGGTAGATTGGGGAGAAGCAAGCATGATTCTAGCAGAGCGCATCCTGCTTCACAATGCACTCAGGGATGCTTCCAATGAGCGGTTTCTTTTCCTATCTGATAGGTATTTAATTTTTATTACGATTCTTTGTACTCCAGATCTATATTTCTAATTAACTCGATTTGCATTTTGTCATTGATTCCTCATGAAAAGCCACCACTCTCCGAAGTTTTCTCAATTTGTCAGAGAATACTTTGAAGTAGTTTTTCTTAGGTTGATAAGTTTATTTTAATGATTTATATTCCATATTTAGACTCGAGTTTTTTTAGATTTGTGGTTAAGACTTCCTATGGGTGCACACTCACAAGCTATTGTCTTGTTCTCTCATAGGAGAGTACTTTTGATTGAGGTGGATCCTTTTGCTTATATTTAAGGCTTAGATTTGGTTGTTATATGTGGATTCAACTAAATGTGGAATAGTTGGAGGGTGAAGGTTGTTCTGAATCCTGATTACGATCTTTTGATTTTTTCATCTCAAGTGTATTAATAAACCCTATTTGACAATGTCAGAGTGATTTAAATTGCAATGTACAGAGATATTGAATAACAACTAGTAGTTGCCTCTTCTCAGGTTTCCAAATAGAGTGGGTGTATATGTTTGTTGAAGACATACTTTTGAGGTTGATGTCATATTGTTCATTGAAGAGGGCTAGTCATTGCTATTTTCACTTGATAGTTTAGAGATGTGAAGCATGGCCACTTTCCAATGTTGAGGCATGAAGCATGTATCAATCAGGAATAAAAGAAATCATAATAAAGAGTTTCCTTCTTCGCAATAATGCAAAGAAGGAAATATTATATTTGCACGGATTCTCTCCTTTTTAGCTGAATATTTAGATTATGAATATGTATTAATTAAGTTACTTAAATTAGATTATACTGAATATTATGTACCTAAAATAGATTGTACAAACTACTATTTATTGGAATGAAAGCAAAGGAAAAGGCATTCAGCCTATTTACTCAAAATATTGTCATGGTATCAGAGATTGAATCCTTGAAATTTTAGTTTTTTGTTATATTTGTCTGGCATCTTCGACAGCTTCCTCACCGCCGGAGAGGTCGTTCTTATCTTTGAGTTCTGCGGAATCTTCGTCCGCTTTGTTTGAGTTCTACAACTGCTTCAAGCCGATCGCCTTCGATCGCACATTTGGTGCTGAGTTTACGACTGGTGCGGCATCTCCGGACATCTTCGCTCCCCCCGCTCTGGCCTGGACTTCTCCTCTGGTGCGGCATCTTCGGATATCTGCCATTCGCTCCCGCTCGTTCGATCGTCGCATCTGCTGCTCGTTCGATCTTCGTTCTTCGCATCTGCTCCGCGATCGATCTGTCTCGATCGTTCGATCGATCGTCCTGCACCACTCCACGATCTTCGCATCTGCCAAGTCTCGTGCCTCGATCCACCGATCCGCCCCGCGATCTTCGCATCCTGCATTCAGAGATACCGTGCGGACATCTCTGGACAATCCTGCATCCACTCCGCGATCTTCGCTTCTGCTGTGTCTCGTACCTAGCCCTTGATTTGAATTTTATTTATTTTTAAAATGTATTCTGAAATCTTAGTTATCAAATTTACGGGAAAAAATTATGCCGCATGGGAATTTCAACTTAGAATGTTCTTAAAAGGGAAGGAGCTTTGGGGTCATATTGATGGATCTACCCCAGCCCCTACTGAGACAAAAGATCTTGGTCAATGGGAAGCAAAAACAAATGATGCTCAGATTGTTTCCTGGATTTTGGGATCTATTGAGGCTCATATGGTGAACAATTTACGATCCTTTGACACAGCTAAATAAATGTGGGAATACTTGAAGCACATTTATAATCAAGATAATTCTGCGAAACACTTCCAATTAGAAATTGACATGAGTAATTATAGTCAGGGTACTCTTTCAATCGAACAATATTATTCTGATTTTTTAAATTTATGGAGCGAATATGTTGGTATTATCTATGCGAAAGTGTCAAAGGAGAACTTAGCTAGTCTTCAAGCTATTCATGAAGAAAGTCATTGTGATCAGTTCTTAATGAAACTGAGACTTGAATTTGAAACTGCTCGAGCTGGGTTACTGAACAGAGATCCGGTTCCATGTCTGGATGTTTGTTTTGGGCAATTACTGCGCGAAGAACAAAGATTGACAACAGATTCTACTATCAGTACAACAGGTGAATCATCAGAAATAATTAATGTTGCATAGAAATAATTAATGTTGCATATGCTTGTTGCATATGCTACTAAGACCAAAGGGAAAAGGCCAGTGCAGTGTTACAGCTGTAAGAAATTTGGTCATATTGCACGAAATTGTGAAAATAAAGTATGTAATTATTGCAAGCAAAAAGGACATACTCTTACGGAGTGCCCAACACGACCCCAAAATCGCAAACCACAAGCACTTCATGCCACAGTATCTAACAATCCTGCCTCGACTTCTACTGTTGCTGACAATAATCAATCAACTGTCACACCCTATATGGTTCAACAGATGATTCTCTCTGCATTTTCTGCTCTCGGCCTTCAAGGGAAAGGTAAAACTATTTCTTCAGTTACTTCTCCTTGGTTTGTTGATTCAGGCGCCACAAATCATATG